TGGGACGTAGTGAACACGCCTAAGCCGCAACAAGTTAACGATGTGTGGATAAAACATAATAACATAGCGTATATAATGCTGAGTGTAAAGGACAATCAGTTGATATATTTTGTACACTTTGATAATGCGTATGATTTATGGCAAGCGCTATCACGAAAGTGCGAACATTCAACATTTAGTAGTAGATTAGAATATCTGTAAAGAAAGTTGTATAGCATCTATTATAGTGGTGGATCTATGTTCGATCACATCGACTCAAGTATGGAAATAGTCGGGTTGCTACGGGGATCGGGAAAGCCCCTTGAAGACGAGGAAATTGTCGCAGTTTTGTTAATGAGCCTTCCAGAATCCTACTGACCGCACTTGAGAGAAGACAAGAGGCAGACTTTACGATTAAATAAGTAGCCGGAAAAATATTGGATGAGAGCAGAAGCATTTTGAGAGCATTGCGTCAGACGAGAAGAGTATGGAAGTGGCGCTTTAATCGGAAATTCTTCACAAAGAATATAATCATCAACGTATCAATTCTAATAAGATTGAGAAAGATTAAAAAGTTTGTAATAAAACTAATAAAGAAATGCCGACATGTTTTTTTCTATAGCAAGCCAGGACATATCAAGGATGACTCATCGACGAGTCGTAGCAAGAGCTCAACAAGAAAACAGTCTCTCTACGTTAACGACAACGACAAGAAGAGACAGCTCGAGTTGCAGGTACGATGGAAGGTATTCATCAATGACATTGTCGTTTAGATCACGGGCATCTGAGAGCCATAAAACGTTTGGCAGAAGAAGAATTGGCAACAAGAATTAAACTACGTATTTGCTCCAGTGAGATCTGTAAACATCGCGTTAAAGGGAAATTGACACAAATGAAGTTTCAGAAGAGCAAACGAAAAGAAAAAGCACCAAGGTTAGTGTATTCAGATTTATGTGGACAATGCAGACTGCTACTCCGAGTAGTAACCGATATTTTTTAACTGTTATTGACGACTACTCTTGATTTATGGACGTACGTTTATTGAAATCAAAGAGTGAAGTTCCTGGTGTCATAAAAAAATATATGGTTGCAATGTCGGTAAGATTTACGAAGAAGCCCATTGTTCTACGCACGGATAATGGCAAGGAAATGTCTCAGTCAAAATGTGGAATTTTCTGCGGAAAGAAGGAATATAGCAGTAATTAACGGTGGCACATACGCCGCAACAAAATTGGGTAAAAACGGAAAAACAGGTTTCTAACAAAAACTGTAAAGTGCATATTGTTGGATGCTGGTTTTGCTAACCTTTTTCGGAGAGAAGCAGTTATGACCGCAGCATATTTGCAAAATCGGATGACGAGTCGCAACATTGATAAAACTCCTATTAAATTATTTAGTAGCAAAAGGCCGAATATTAATCATATTCGAGTATTTGATTCAATATTTATTTGCTGGTTCTTAAACAAAAATGCAAGAAATAGGACAAGGCCGAAAAGGGAGTACTTGTTGTTAAGACGGAAATACTAAAGGTTATCGGATTTTAAACCTCAGTACAAATCAAATATGGATCAGTCATTCTGTATGAATAATGTATTGGGTGAGTGCAAAAGTTCGTGCGGAGGTACAATAGATGGCGTTAGAAGCGGCGTAAAGTTTTGTCATTAATACCGCCATCTCCGTAAGACATATCGTTGGAAAGGTGACGTGTGAAGCGTTCATTTCAAACAAAAGAATTTGTGTAGATACGAACTGCTTCGAGAAAGATTACTTTCAAAATAAGTGTCGAAAAGGTGCATTTACGGCATGTTATTCTTTACGAGTTTCGGAAAGGAATAAACGTTGCAGCAGCCGTAAAAAACATTCAAGAGGTTTATCAAGATCAAGCACCAGCTAAACGAACTGTGGAAAAATGGTTTGCGAAATTTCGCCGCGGACAGTTTAACCTTGAAGACGAGCCACGCTCAGGTCGACCTTCAGACATTGATGACGATGTTGTGCGAACTTTAGTTCAGAATACTCCGCGAATTTCAACAGAGGAAGTTGCTACAGCACTTAACGTTGACCGATCAACCGCTTTTCGGCGTTAAAAAAAAATCGGTTTCGATTTGAAGCTCGATGTATGGGTGCCCCATTTGATGACGGAGAGGAACAAAATCCAGCGAGTTTCTGCTGCCGTTTTTTTACTCGGGCGGCTCAAAAACGAGCCGTTTTTGGATCGATTAGTGACGGGCGATGAGAAATGGGTCCTGTACAACAATGTTCAGCGCAAACGCACATGGAAACAGGCAGGTGAGCATGGTGAAGCAATGGCAAAGGCCGGTTTACACCCGATGAAGGTGATGCTCTGTGTTTGGTGGGATTGCAAGGGCATAATTTATTTTGAGTTTCTCCCCGCTGGTCAAACGATTGATTCGGACAAGTACTGTCGCCAATTAACCAATCTGAATCGAGAAATCAAACAGAAACGTCCGATTTTGTCAAATCGCAAGGGCGTAGTCTTTCACCACGACAACGCAAGACCACACGTTTCGAGACAGACGCTGCGCAAACTGAACAGCCTGCAATGGGATGTCCTAACTCATCCACCGTATTCTCCTGATATCGCACCTTCTGATTATCACTTGTTCCGGTCATTGCAAAATCATTTAAATGGAAAAAAAATTGACTCTTTGGATGCCTTAAAAAACGTCGTGTCTTCGTTCTTCGAATCTAAACCGCGCAGTTTTTATGATCGGGGCATCCGTATGCTGCCAGAACGTTGGAAAAAGATTATAGACAACGATGGAGAATATATCATTGATTGAATAAAGAACTTTGTTTGCCTAATCACTGTCTGACTTTTACTCACAAACTCCGCACGAACTTTTGCACTCACCCAATAATACAATGGTCATCATGATGAGGACAAAGATGGTGATTCGCACCGGATGTCAACATGAAAAGAGACAATTAGCGAGAAACGGGAAGCTGTTGTTTACGAAATATTAAAGCCAGTTGACGAAGAGACATCAAGACTAGAAGAGGAAACAAATAACCACATATCAACCTATGTGGATACAGAGACTACACATGATATACAGATGAATAGACATACCAGATAGAGACACCACCACTGAATATACGGAATGTACTAATAAAATCGTGTATCACAGCAAAATAATAAAGAAATAAGGTTGACATATAAAGTACAGACAGTATCAGTTAAAAAGCTGGAATGATTGAAGATGTTAGAACTTTTATTACCGAAATAACAATGATGGATTGCTGCAGCAGAAGAGGAAATGAAATCTCTTAATAAACATCGAGTAAGAGAACTTACAGATCTTCTGCCAGGAAAGAAAGTCATACTTTGCAAGTAAGTTTTCAAATGCAAGTTAAATGATGAAGGTCAGATATATATTTATAAGACTCGCTTGGTAGCGAGAGATTTCTCGCAGTCCTATGGGGAAGGTTATGATGAAACTTTTGAGTCTGTGGTCAAGCATGAAACCACACGCACACTAGTTTTAATGTCAGCTAAGAAAAGTTTGAAAGTGTATTATTTGGATCTACAGGGCGCGTATTTGAACAGCGATCAAGAAAAAGAAATTTTCTTGGAGCAAGCATCAGGTTTTCATAAATACGGACATAAACCCAAAGTTTAGTAGTTGCGGAAAAGTGTCTACGGACTTAAACAATTAGCACATGCATGGATTAAGAAGGCTAAGTTAACTGTCCAAACAAGTTTTCAACTAGGAAGAACTGATCGATGCGTTTATATAAGGAACGAGAAAAACGTTGAAATGACTTATATACTATTATTATTCGTTATTATTATACGTTGACGATCTATTAAGTAAGCATCTGCAGACATAACTAAGAAGATGGGCAAAGATCTTCAGAAATACTTCAACATCAAGGACTTTGAAGACTTTCATCATTATCTCAGTATCAATAGATAGAACGCAAGAAGGATGAAGCATTTTTACTTGGCCAGAAGAGGAATATTTCCAAGATGTTGGAGGAATATGGTCTTACGTAATCAAAACCCGTTGCGACACTAATGCCAGTAAATTTCCTAAAATCTGGATTGAACTACAGTACGCGAAACTGCCGTATAATACTCAATATAGGCAGCAATTAGATCGCTGTTGTATATTGCCACAAGGTCTAGGCCGGACATTGCTGCAGCAGTAAGAATTTTGAGTCGATTCGTTAAAAATCCTATCAAATGGGATTGAAAGGCAGTTAAAAAGATAATACGATATTTAGCATCTACTATGAATAAGAAATTGAAGTTGTCTTCAGGTGGAACTTTTGAGATCGACTGTTTTGTGGAAGCGGATTGGAAATTACAACGACAGGAAATCGAGTGGACATGTCGTTAGGAAATGGAACTATAGCCTGATCACATCGGAAACAGATATCAGTGTCATTGTCATCGACGGAAGTCGAGTAAATTGCAACTTTATAAGTGAGCAAAGAATTGCTCTGATTGTGACAATTATTGGAAGATTAACATTTTCCAATAAAAGAACCCGTTGTCATTCACGAAGATAACCAATCATCTATTCATTTAATTTGTAATCATTGTAATCATTTAATTGAAGCAGACCAATGTGGGGAGCAGACCAAACGCATTGATATATGATATGTTGTGATATGTGTTATGATGTGTTACCAAATTCAGGACCTTCGAGAGAAAAAATGTGGTCAACATGCGATACGGTCCCACATGTGTTGGCCTATCTAATGACAAAGCTGTTGGTCAAGATATGTTTTTATGGAATTGACATATCGTTTGGGAATATTTTAATTCAAACTGTCCGCAGCAGGAAGAGGTATTGAAAGAGCGCCTTGGACAGTTTGAATCGGTCACACTTTGGCAGGCATCTCATTTGCGTTTGTTTTTGGGCATTGTTGGCGTTTATCCACATACCCACGCAATCAGTAAATTTTTCATCAATATAAAATATTTTTACGACATTTATATTTACTAAATAATTCTAACAAATGATGAATATCCGCAGTGACGGACCAGTTTATTCTAAATTCGTAATTATGGATTTAGGATAAACTGGTTGCTGCAATTCCTCCTATTTAATAAGTTTTTTTGCGTCATATAATGATTATAAAATAATTAAATTAGATAATTTAAAAAATTCACAGTAACACAAAAAACCCATAAATATACTCTTGTATCGCATATAACTTACGTTGCACAATGTTGCCATCGTCATAGGAAATGTTTTTCCAGCTGTAATGTGAAGTGGTTTACTCGAGCGAAACATAATTAGCAATAAATTCTTTGCTGCCTTCGGTTCTATAGTATACCACGCATATTCATATGTAAAACGGTGTATTTTTTCAGACTAAAAAAATGCAGCATAAATATAGAAACAATTAAGCTATATCGATAAATAAGAATTAATAATTTAAATGACAATTTTCGAGACCAATTCTTGATAAGTAATTTTTTGGTCGTCATAGAAAAGTTACAAAATATACGTAGAGTTATAAATGTAGACCAGTCACGATGTTTACATTGTCATTAATATTATATATTGTAATATTATTTCACTTACTTGTGTCACGAGAATTTCACCAACAGCACAATAAAGACACATGTGCAACAAGAAATATAAAATCGCTGCAACATTCCAACCCAATTGTGTAATGGACAATTGGCCTTTTTGTTTTACAACCTAGATTGATATATAGATGTTATATGTTTTCAAAAATTCAATATCATTTGAAACTCAATATAGTCACACATTAGAAATATGTCGTTCTCTCGTTGGAACTACCGGAATTATTATATAATAATTTTTTCATGTTATTTGTAACGTAAAACTGTTGACTTTTATGATGATTTTGAAAATATAATTTTGGCACATTTTAAAATATTAGGTTGGCAAGAATGAAATTTGTAGTTAATAATATTGACAAATGTAACAGCTTACTATTTGACATTGGCTTAATATATTACCGTTTTGTTTTTTTTTTTGTTGGAAAATTACATATCTCGCCTGTTTAAAGAAATCATTGTAAGCTCTAAAAAAAATTAAAACCTTTTTTTAAACATTAATTTTGTTGAAAATGGAACGGTCGGAAATTCGCACTATTATGAAGTATGAGTTCTTACGTGGAACTACGGTATCGCAGACCGCGCGAAATATTAATAGTGTATTTGGCTGTAGTGTTACTACGCAGCAGACACTATCAAATTGGTTCGCCAAATTTCGTACAGGTAATTTTGACCTCACAAATGAGCCACGCGGTCGCCCAGAATCAATGGTCAATAATGACGAACTAAAGGTCACCGTTGAGTCGGACCCATCTCAGAGTACCTATGAATTATCGTTGAAATTTGGTATTAGCAAACAAACAATATTAACTCATTTAGCTCAAATCGGTAAAGTGAAAATTTGGATAAGTGGATTCCACATGAACTGAATGAAAAACAGAAACATAAACGTTTGGAAACTTGCTTGATGTTGCTTTCTCGTCACAAATCTGATCCCTTTTTTAATGGAATTGTCACTTGTGATGAGAAATGGATCCAATATTACAATCGCAAACGTTCAGCACAGTGGCTGGACAAAGATGAATCACCAAAACACATTCCAAAGCACAATATTCATGAAAAAAATGATGATGAGTATTTGATGGTCTAGCGCAGGTGTGATCTATTATGATTTCATGAAACCTGGATCATCGATCACAGCAGAAATATGCTGCAACCAACTGGACGAAATGATGCAAAAACTGAACAAAATGAAGAAAAACAGCCTAAATTGATCAACAGATCGACTCCTATCTTATTGCATGATAACGCTAGACCATACACAGCACAAATGACTGTGGCAAATCTGCAGGAATTGGAGTTGGAACTTTTTCACCATCCTCCATACTCACCAGACCTAGGCCCCACTGACTACCACTTCTTCCGCAATTTGGACAACTTTTTAATAGGAAAACAATTTAATTCCGACAAAGCTGTAAAACTGGCCTTCCAGGAATTCATTGACTCTCGTCCGCCCGGGTTTTATACCACGAACAACCGGCCTGAACAACCTGCTGCTTAAATGGCAAAAGTGTATAGACAATATGGGTGCATACTTTGATGAATAAAATAATTCCTTATATTTGTGAGTTATCAACCAATTTTGCCTTTTATTCTACAAATTTCATCTTTGGCGACCTGATAATTAAAAAATAGTTCGTTTTTATAATTCTAGTTCCAACGATAGATGGAACTAAAAGATGGGTACCGAAGATGGGTAGATGTATATTCTTATTCGCTTATATGTTTCAAATTATTGAATGTCCAGATTTCATGACAGTCGTAAGACGCGCGGACATTTATATAACTACTGTAATTTTTGCTATTATTAAATGCAAAAATTATTAATTATATCATCAAATATGTATTATTATGCATAATGTTTAAAACGAATATTCTGTATAGTTTCCTAAAAAAATAATTAAAAGTAATAGCGTTTTCTAGACTTCTAAATAATTATCCATTCTTAATTATGCCGCCTAATTCGCAAATATTTATAGCTTACACTAACTATGAGAAATCCTTGAAAGCAGAATAGTATGCCGAAGAAAAGTATCAGGACAAGCAGCATTAAATCAAAAGTGTCATCGATGATTTGAATTGATCTGTAATGGCAACGACTTATTAGAAAATGGAATAATTTTCAATTGTATAAGAAAATGAAAAAAGGAACTTTTGCAATGCAGGTCAGTACGCGGAAATCAATACGTAAACCCAACATGTGAACAAAGTCAGAAATAAGTTCATTTGAATATATTAACTTATAAATGGCATCATTTTATACATTTAAATACAGACATATCATTTCTATTTAGAAATGATTTATCTTAGTTTAATTTAAATTAATGATTCCTAGGTACCTAATCAAACGTATGTGATCTTGAACGTTGAATTTTAAAGCTGCATGGAAGTTCGGATACTTTTCCATATGTGCCAATCGCGAATGTAGATTTTTTAGTTGACCGCAGACGTGTATAACTAATAATCCAAGGAAGTTGTCGACCGCAGAATAAGCGATAGTCGTTGTAATTAATCCCATTCCTTGTGCCAAAAACGTTAATTCGAACTGCGGACTTTTGGAAACATCGTGCAAGTAGTACGATTGCAACGGCAAAGGTTTCCCAGGGTCGGTCAGGTTCGTCACTTGCCTGACAGTCAGTCCGAACCATGGAAAGATGACGCCAATCATCATTGACAATAGTACCATGAACATTCCGCATATAGCGATATTTCGAGTGACCGTGGAGTACATCAACATAACATCACGCTCTTCTTTTATTTTTGCCTTCATCCAATCATTTTTAATCATATCAATTAAAGGTGCTAAAGCTTTAAGAAAGAGTAACGCGTTAATATTCTATTAGATGAATACTTTCGTGCATATTACTAATCATATAAAAAAGTAAAAAAATTGGTATATAATGAGATGCCTCGATAATGCTAGCAGCCATACGCTACAATTGTAATTATAATAAAAACTAAAAGTGATATTGGCAGGAAAATATTCCGCTACACAATATATACCTTCTTGTTTGTACCATATGATGCAGATTTTACATATTGTCATCAACAGAGATAGACTATATTGCAAATTATCAATCATTAATTTCATGTCGCCCCATACCCTTATCAATGATGCTAAAACCGGTATCGTCAATATGCAAAGCAATGTGGTAAATGTGTACAGCAGTCGAAGTTTCGAACCTACGATCTCACGGGAGTCTCGGTTGTCTGGCGGCCACAAACCGACAATTTTCAACATCAGTCGATTTAAATTGATTGCCCATTCCAAATCTGTTATTAGAAACTTTTATTTATGTTGTACTTTGGAAGTTATAAGAAACCACATTCGCATATGCAGCATTTGTGTGAAAAAATTTAAATACATCTACGGGAAAATAAAGAATAGAAATAATTTTGGTACCCATTTAAGTTTTTTAACTTGACCGAAGAAAAGTATGAAAACTATAAAAAATGTATGCCTTTAGATAACATTTATAAAGCATTACGAAAATATTGGGTATCACGAAAATATTGGGAAATTCTCTAGATATTGCACAAAACAAACAGCCATTATTTTCTTTTATACTCAATGTTCTCGAACGATTTATTTTAATTAAATTCAGGCTGGCGCAATAGTATATTTGCAAATCTATTGAAAAAAGTACATAAAACATTAATCTTTATATTAGGTCTAGTAAAAAGCAATCCATTATTTTTCCAATAGAGGGCTTTACTAATCTGTATCTCGCGTTGTATAAGTCCGATCGGATTACGCCAGATGGCGTTAGAAAGATAAGATTTCGTACTNACAGTTTTGTGATTGCTTGACTCAGTATTGTTTGAGCGCGCGTCAAAGATGGACACCAGCAAAGAGAAAATACGCTATATTTTACAGTTTTTCTTCGATAAAGGCGAAAACGCAAGCCAGGCGGCTAAAAATGTGAATAGTGTTTATGGTCCTGAAACTGTAAGAGCCAATCACGCGCAATTTTGGTTTCATCCATTCAGTTCCGGTAATTTTGATGTCAAAGATGCACCACGCTCCGGG